GCAATGTTCACTGCTGCCTCTATCTTGGGCTTCGCCCTTGCTGCCATCGGGGCACCTAACCAGGGACATACTGGCGGAAATGCCTTGAAGGCGCTCTGGGGTGTCCGTGGTGGGGGCTTGGAACTTGCGTTCTCCCCCGGTCAAGCACGGTTCTCTGGTGGCGACATCATTCGTGCATTGGGTCTGTACCAGTTTATTGGCACCCTCTATCTTCAGCCTGTTACGCTCGCACATCAGATTGGTGAAGGTTAGTTAAGTTAGCAACCCTCTAGAGCTCTCATGAGAACTAACAATCCAATACAGGGCAACCCGGACCTGCTTCCCTTGGCCTGAAGCCTTATGCACCTTCTTTCCACATCAAGGGAGGCTCACTGTACCAGTTAAATAATGAGGCGAGTCGAGTTGTCTCTTTCTCTACATTTTACTGACGAACTGCATTAGACGTCGGTACTCTATGCCAACGTCGTAAACGTCACCGAGACCACAGGGTCTCACATTATCCCCAAACTTCAGCTCTTCCTAGAAAACAAACAACGTGGTGTAGGGGGGCGTTGGGCATGGCATGACACCACTCTCCATTTCGAGAAGGGAGAATGGAGTAACAAAGGTTATACATCCACTCGAGCACCTGATCGTATGTATCTGACGCGTCCGCATGTCTAGGTCTATTCCACTCCTGCCGAAACATCGAGGGCTCGTACGGCATCTACGTTGACTTCAAGTAAGACCAATCTACCTCGAGCATATTCATTCACTGATCTTTTATATACAGCTTAACCCAAGAATATCCTCAGAACTGCGTAGCAATCACCCTTCACAGCTTCGGTGACGAGGATAACCATTTTTAGTCGATTCTTGCATGGGTTTATATGATGTATTGTTAGCCAGCTCTCCCGTACGAATTCTTTAGCGACCATGTCCTTGCCTCTCGATGTGCTCCCATTTTATGTTTTATGCATTTATTATCCCGAATTTGAAAGACTGGATCAAGAGATCAGCTGGTTACCCCGCAATTGAAGCCGGTTAAGGGTCGAAGCCGACTCCCGCGCTCAAGTGACCACTCATCCCAAATTCGTCCGGCCTCACCTTTACCACGACCACATCTACACCCACGGCTCATTAGTTGAACATGCCACCCAAGCCAAGTCGCGCCGCTATTAACAACTTGCTCAACCTAAGTCGCCATACCTATTGCCCGTGTCATGGCGCGAACGCAGCGCACCATCATCCGCCTGGAGGCCTCCTCTCCGGTTTACGAAAGTACGCGACTCCAATCGACGTACCCGTCGAGAAGGAATATGCCTTCGAGGTAGCTAGCGTTGAGCTGGTTCATAATGTATATTCACACGCTCTGTTAGGTCGCAGCGTCCAATCTGCGCTTTGGTGAAGGTGTAACAAAAGAGGTAAGAGACTATCCATCCAAGGCGTGATTTATACTCATATGCGTCTTAGGTCGGCATGGATCTCAAGAACCTGGCCGCTACCAAGGCAATTCTTTCTGTTTTTATCTACACACGCGCACTAAAGGCGTTATAGGTTGGGGTGTTCACAGACTCGAATCTCGCAAAGCTATTACCGATGAAGATGGTATGTACTCAGAGATAGGTGCAGAAGTCGTATTAACTCACTCCTATAAGGCGGTTGAATCGCTGGATCAACACGGTATAAACTACGAGGTCTTTGACCGCGTTGCTGTCGAACCAACAGACGCCAGCTGGAACGATGCAATCGCCTGGTCCAGGCAGCATGACTTTTCGCATTTCCTTGCGTGAGCATTTACCTTAAAATATCCATGGGATAACTTTGTTCACAGTGCCTTTTAGCGTGGGAGGCGGTAGCGTTATTGATACGGCAAAAGCAGCCAACCTGTAAGCACACTCATTAAACAACTGTAAAACATAGCTGAAGCACTCGACTAGATTCACAGTTTACAAGCATGCCGACTTGTTCGATTTCATCAACGCTCCAGTGGGCAAAGGATTGCCGATCTCCGAGAAGTTGCGCCCTCTCATTGCGGGTGAGTTTCTTCCAAGCATATAGCCTTCGTAGCAGTTTTCTTATCATGTGTTTAAGTTCCGACAACGGCTGGCACGGGCTCGGAAACCACTGGCACCGCTATTTTGGATATTCCCTCTATGAGGTTCAAAACTGGAATCGCTAATCGTGCTCTAAAGCCTATGCTCGGGATCGTCGATACGCTGAATACTGACAGCTGTCCTACTGCTGTTCATATTAGCGCTGGGTTGGACGTTGTAAGTGCACTGTGTGAATGCTCGACTGGGAAGGTACTGACAATGGCGCATAGCTCTTCCACGCTCTGGAGAGTTACACGGCAATTCCTTACACAGAACGAATCCCTCGACCTGCTAATCCCTTGCTGCGGCCCGCATATCAAGGGTCAAACGACGTGAGCGATGTGTTCTCTACCTGGGCTCTGCGGCAGACCGTCAAATATCTCCCACGAGTGGCTAAAAACAGAGATGATAAAGAAGCAAAACGGCAGATGCTGTGAGTTCTTCTTGATGGATGCGTGGCTAGAACTCGGCTTAGATTCACACCGTCTTTAGGCTAGCTTCGTCGTTTGCTGGTATTGGGTTTGGAAACGCTGGCGTGCACTTGTGCCATGGAATAAGCTATCCTGTAGGTCTGCCGTCGACCAGTAGTGCTTAGTGGAGCTCACATCTCGTCAGATCTCTGGGTTTAACAAGACGGGCCCTAAGTACAAGCATCCGGGATACTTGGTAGATAAGCCCATTATCCCGCACGGTGTTAGGTAAGGACCTCAATTACGATTGTGTACATTGAAAGCTGACGGTATTGTACCTAGCGTGGCGTTGACTGGTCCAGCTGGTGAGTGAGATAGCAGAGCTAACAGTAACAGTGTTCTGACTTTGGATGCAGTATTCCAATTCACAGCGCCGTCCTCTCCGTCCCGGCACCGTGAGGCTGCTGCGATTTTTACCGGAACGGACGTGAACGACTCCAGGATCTCCCGGCTATCGGGTACGTGCCTTTTACTAGAGCTTGAATATGGACTAACTGTTTATGCAGATGATGCCGTCGGAGACTTTTTGTTTGAACAAATTGCGAGGTTTTTGGATGGCTTGGGCGTGCCCCGCGGTCTCAGTGCGGTTGGTTACCAAAATGACGACATTAATATGTTAGTCAAGGGGACAATTCCTCAACGCCGTGTACTGGATCTTGCTCCCGGAATTGGTATGTCGGTTTGATCTGTAGACCAACTCCCTCTAACCCATATTACAGGTGATGTTACTGGAGCTGATGGAGCGGAACACTTGGCTGCCATTATCGAGAAGTCCATGTCCTACTAATGAAGGGGACAATGTTACATTTAGGTATGCATTCATCTTCTCAATGTTTCTTGATGTACAATAGTTCCGCCAATGTTATTGAATCGCGGGCATACATTCACGCATGGGTCTCAAAGCATAGAAAGACCCAAACCAGTTGTACCTCGTATCCCACGGCTGCGTGCGGCGTACACGCTGATTCCTAAGCAGCTGAGAACGAACCCAACGAATCTATAAATAATGTCACATAAGTCGACTATGGTAAAGGGCACGACGGTACCATATCCTCACCTAAAGAACGCAACCCTCGAAATGCTCCGCTCCTCCAGGGGTGTTCGAGACGATGCAAAGATTGACCTCAATACAGCTGGCGTAACTGGGCTTCGCTTCTTCTCGTCTGAAACGGGTGAGACGGGCGCGACGACTGACGGCGGCCGTCGAACAGTGCTGCCGGACGACGCGGTGGAGGGTGCGTAGCGCGGGGTCGTGGGTGGCGATTGCCGTCGGACGGGTGGGGTGGCTCGCTGCTGGCGTTGCTTGCTGGGAGGTTGTGGCGGTCTCCGGCTTGGTTGGGAGGAGGTCCGCTTGGACGGGGAACGGTAGGTTTGAGGGTAAGGGTTGCTTAAGGGATGAATTGTGGAGGAACCTGTAATAGTAGATGCTTGAGTTCATCACGTAGACGCTCTGAAGAAATGTGTAAACCTGAGGAAGACATCGCAAAGTAAACTTTCGTATGAGATGGTGGTAGTTGGGAGCAGGGAAACGGCGTGGCTGTGGCGCTAACAAGAGACGAGAGACGGCCAGAAGTGGACGGTCAGAAGTGGATAAAAAATATGACCCCACCAGAGATCGAATCTGAGACCTCATCCGAGCACGAATGTGAAGGATGCGTGATAACCAACTACACCATAGGGCCTTGCTCATCAGCCGGAACCAAACTCCTAAACACCGCGGTCGTCCGGCGCGTGTTTGGCACCTGGCGCGCCTTAACTTAGGCTGGCTGTTGACTTGCACTTAACCGCCACCGTCGCCCACTACCATGCCGAAAATTCGCACAACTCGCACGAAAAAGCCGCCTGAGGGCTTCGAAGATCTTGAAGGCGTATGTTCTTTTGTTTATATATTAAGTCATGCTAACGTTTTGCTGCAGATATTAGACGAGTATGCCAAAAAGATGAGGGACGCCGAGAACGAGTCTCACGAAGGAAAACGCAAGACCGAATCTCTGTGGCCTATCATGCGTATCTCACATACACGTTCGCGCTACATCTACGAGCTATACTACAAACGCGAGGCCATTAGCAAAGAGTTGTATGACTGGCTGCTCAAGGAAGGTTATGCAGATGCCAAGTGAGTTTTCAGGCCCTTTAGCTCACGAAGAAGCGCTAACTTCGTTGAAGCCTGATTGCCAAGTGGAAGAAAACTGGGTATGAGAAGCTTTGCTGTGTTCGTTGCATTCAAACAAGGGTATGTGGCATTCAACATATGACCGCGGCCATGCGTTAAGACCGATGCGTTGTTAGGATATGAACTACCAAGGCTCTACTTGTATTTGTCGAGTACCCAAGGCTCAGGTCAAAGAGGGGACCGTAGTAGAATGTGTACACTGTGGTGCGTTCGGCCAGGTGGCTTCGCCGTGTGAGATTAGCTGACGTTAGTTTTCTAGGCTGCCGTGGCTGCAGCTCCGATTCTTAATACTACATTGCTTCATCACCTTTGCTCACTAAACGAATCGTTCTACGCTTTGTACCATTGTAGTATATAATTATGACCAACCAGTTGGTGTGTCACTCGTCCAAAGTAAATCAGCTGACTGATTGGGGATTGACATGTCAAGAATCGCCAAGCGCTATCTGCTCCATGCCAAGCGTGCCTGAATCGTGCGTCTCTCCGGTCATGCAGAAGTTGGTGGGTGCAGTCCGACAGTGAAGGACCGGATAGGCGTCTCATGAGGCATTTCCACAAGTGAAATGGGCGGTGGGTTGCCTTTTTACAATACAAGCCTACATCAATCGAGCGCGGCGTCGATCTTAGCGACCGGTTGGTTGTAACCGGAACTCCAGACTCAGACTATAGGGGCTGCACCAATTGGGAGTTGTTGCGTCTAAAGCTTCGCCACTCGATTGCTTGTTCCTGAGATCAAATTCGCGCGATGGCTCAGCCCGGCGGTCCTGTATAGCATAATAACAGTATAATAGGGCGACACCCCCGCACTCGGCCTCTTTCTCCTAACCTCAGCATGGGCGGGTTTTCTGACGCTGTCCTCGACTTTGGCCAAGGCCTTGTCAAGCGAGCCGCTCGCGAGCAGGTATGTTCCGTGCCAGCTCGCAAATGCCTTATTCTTACCGCCCGCTCCGAAGGGTGGCATTTTGTCTGGCGAAAACCCATCGCATTTTGACCCTGCTAACCCAATAAGAGTATGGGTTATTCAACTCAGTTAGCATTTCTCGGTAGTTTATTGCAATATTTCCCGCTAAATAGCTGTTTCAGTCGTCATCATCTTCATGACCCAGCTGTTGGCCTTGATTCTTGGGAAGATCAAACAGCCACGAGTCATTGCTGAGGTTATTGCTGGTATTATCCTTGGCCCTACTGTTATGGGTCGTATCCCGAGTGAGTGCGGCTCGATATGCCCGAGTTCACAAGATATTCACAATTCACCACAGACTTTTCAAAGTCGGTTTTCCCTACCGAGTCGCTGCCATATCTGAGTTTGGTGGCGACGATCGGCTTGGTGCTTTTCATGTTCGTTATCGGTGAGTGGTTTGTGGTTTGAGGGCTCAACCCTGTACTCATTGGTGCGATAGCACTTGAACTTGATGTTTCCGTGGTTAAGAAAAACGCCAAGGCGTCCTTTGCCATTTCGGCGGCAGGCATGCTGCTCCCATTTGGCGTGGGTGTTGGAGTCGCCGTCCCGATCTATCGCGAATTCATCGACCCTACGAAAGCATCGTTTGGGCATTTCTTGTTATTCGTTGGTGTCGCTATCTCTATCACCGCTTTCCCAGTGTTATGTCGCATCCTCACTGAGCTACGCCTCTTGGGTTGGTTGATTTTCTCTCCTTGCGTACCCACGGCTAAGGTTCTTGTTAGATACCGACGTGGGAGTGACCGTCTTGGCTGCTGGTGTGGGAAATGATGTCGTTGGTAAGTCTTTGCCTAGTTCAGGATTCCACATTTGATATCTTACGCACGTTGCAGGCTGGATTTTACTCGCGTTGACTGTTGCGCTTGTCAATGCTAGCACAGGGTTGACCGCGCTTTACATTCTCCTTGTCACCGTCGCTTGGACCATCTTCCTTCTCCTTCCTGTCAAATGGGGATTCAGATGGCTCGCTCGTTATACCGGCTGCCTCGAAAGTGGACAACCCAACCCGCTTATGATGACTGCCACGCTGCTACTTGTCTTTGTGAGCGCCTTCTTCACTGACGTGGTCGGAGTACATGCCATTTTCGGAGGATTCATTGCTGGACTTGTCATTCCACGCGATAATGGCTTTGCTATTGCTCTCCTAGAGAAAATTGAAGATCTAGTCACAATTCTGTTCCTACCCCTGGTACGTGAAATAGTTTACGATTTACCCGACCGCACTAACCTTGTCCTGGTTCCCAGTACTTTACGCTTTCTGGGCTCAAGACCAATCTTGGACTTTTGAACGATGGAATCACTTGGGGGTACACCATCCTGATTATTGTGGTCGCATTCTCTGGCAAGTTCATCGGATGTGCGGCAGTTGCTCGACTTGTTGGATACAATACTCGGGAGAGTGGAGCAATTGGGATGCTGATGAGCTGCAAGGGGTATGTTCAGACACCTTGCATATACGGTTTATTGACTAAACCTGATTCGTAGTTTGGTCGAGCTAATTGTGCTAAACATCGGATTGTCGGCCGGGATCTTGGACACCAGAGTGTTTTCTATGTTCGTCGTGATGGCCATCGTCTTGACATTTGTTACCTCGCCCTTCACTATCCTGTAAGTCGCAATCGTCGCACTTCTAGGAATCCAACCTAACACAGGTAATTCAGCTTTTATCCCGAGCGCGTGCGTTCGCATGTGGGTGCTGGTCATCGCGGCGCTAGTGATGAGACCAAGAAACGCCGTCGTACCCCTACGACCGATACAACTGGGCCTATCTCTCTTATGACCCACTTCACGGTCGTGTTGAACAAGGTCGAGCATCTACCAGCCGTGATGACACTCACACAGTTCTTGCAACCACCTCTCCCTGGTTCAGCATCTCTTCCTTCAACCAACAGCTCCGACCTTCAGGACGAAAAGGCCGATTTTGCCAACCCCGACCTCCCCTCCCTCTCAAGGCCTGCACCACTTACCTCGGATGGTACACCCCGCGTGAAAATTGATGCACTGCGCTTGATTGAGTTGACCGAGCGAACGTCGGCGGTCATGAAGGTTTCTGCATCGGAAGAGCTCATGCATCGCGATACCCTCATCAGCGTCTTGCGCACATTTGGGCATCTGAACCGAATTCCGGTCACTTCTGCGCTTTCTGTGGTCCCCCGTGACAATTTCGCGTCTAGTGTCACTTCTCATGCTCAAGAAACTGATGCTGATCTTGTTGTTATTCCATGGAACTCGGCTCCCTCGGCGATCGACGAACACCCGAACAACGCTACAGGCATTACACCCCAAAATCCGTTTGATGCTGTCTTTGGCGGACGATCTGCTGCAGTCGACAAAGCCACCTCTGTATTCTACTCGCAGTTCATTCGCCGAGTATTTGTCGATTCGCCCGCTGACGTTGCGCTTTTCATCGACCGTGGTCTGTCCCCGCTCGAAACGAGCGTCACCTATGGCCAACATATCTTCCTTCCGTTCTTTGGTGGTCCGGACGACAGGCTCGCGCTTTCGTTTGTGGTTCAGCTCTGCGTTCACCCAGCTGTGACTGCAACCGTGGTACGCATGAAGAAGGTTGAAGGAGAGACTGAGACGAGGAGAACTTCGACGGATGTCAAGCCTGAGCAAGTTGCTGCTGTCTTGGCGGCTAACAACATGACAGTGCACTCGGTGAGTTTATTTTTGACCGAGGAGTAGGAGTTGAAAACTTACGCGTAGCTTTATTAGATGGGCCCAGATACTGTGTACCCCCAGCACAACACGCAACATCGCCTCCAGTCTGAAACTGCAGACAACTTGGTGTGGAGCCAGGTAACTTCCTCTTCGGACTCCCAGTCTCCTGCAATCCGTGGAGCATTGTCTCGTATTACTTTTGTGGAGGATTCATCGTCTGCCCCGCTCACAGCTGTTCTCAAGCGATGCGGTACGGAGCTGAATACCGCCACCTCGAGCAACAAGGCCCTACTTGTCGTGGCCGGTCGTGGTCGAAGGATGGCAGCCGAATCGCACACCGATGAGCTCCGAGGCATTATTGCAGGAGTTAGCACGTTCGCGATTGGCGGAGAAGTTAGGCGGACCGTTGGCGATGTGGCTACTGCGTTTGTTGCTACCGGAGCCAAGGCGAGCCTGTTTGTTCTACAAGCTTCGGAAAACGTTGGAGATGATTGAGAGCCTTGATTTACGCGCGTTTTTGATGTTTTAAGGATGTCTGTGTAATTTTATCTTGTTTTTGTACGCCGGTTTCAGCACTTCTCTGCATTACCTGGAATATATCATCTTTTATGACGCATACATAGGCAAACGTGAAAGTCTAAAGCTGGCTAAGACTGCCGCTTCGAGGTCACAACCGAGTGTGTCATCATATGGCGTGAATATGTACAAGATTTGCACAATCAGTGGACAGATTTCAGTCACCTATCCTCCTGGTGCGCATAATTGTTCATGTCAACCAAGAAAGTTATGTATGCTATCCGAAACTCCAGGCGTCACAACCTAGTGCCGCGAGTTGTTTTGCTCCACGAGCTCTGCGAACGCGACTTGAGTTCCCCCAAAGATAT